AAGTAGGGTACAGACTGACAACCCTCAGAAGAGGGGGTGGTGGGGGGAAGGAAGAGATAAACCACAGAACTTATATGCATGTACGCATAACCAATGGACATGGACAACAAAGGTGGGGACGGGGCAGGGGACATGGGGATGAGGGTGTCAATGGGGTAAAAAAGGAGAAACATCTGTAACAAAAATAAAATTTACTTGCTTATTAGCAAAGAGCTTGGCAAAGAGTGGATTTACTGAATGTTAGCCTCAGTATTTCACTGATTCTAAGGTGGTGAGACATTTTCTAATATTTTAAGAACTCTGAAGTCAAAATGTATCTTTAAAACAATGATGTGTCACCCTGTCTGGCATGGCTCAATTGGTTGGAGGATCATCCTGTACACTGAAAAGTCTCTGGTGCAAATTTCCAGTGAGGGCAATGCCCAGACTGCGAGTTCAATCCCCTGTCCAGGTGCATGCAGGAGGCAACTGATTGATATTTTCTTTTCACATCAATGTTTCCCTCTCTCTCTCTATCCGTTTTTTGTTTTGTTTTTTATCCTCACCTGAGGACATTTTTCCATTTTTTGTTCAGGTAGAGTGGGAGGGAGAGAGAGGAACAGAGAGAGAGAGAGAAACATCGATGTGAAAGGAACACATCAAGTGGCTGCCACCCGCACAACCGACCAGGGCCGGGGACAAACTGTAACCAAGGTACGCGCCCTTAGCGGGAACCGAACCCGGGTCTCTCAGGACTGCAGGCCGACGCTCTAACCGCTGAGCCAAACCGGCCAGGGCTCTCTCTATCTTCTTCAGGTAAGGATTAGGAAAAAAAAAATTATGTGTCATAACTCAACAGTATTTTTTTCTCCTTCCCTCCCTCTCCTATCCTCTCTCTAAGATCAATAAAAGCATGTCCTTGGGTGAGGATTAAAAATAAATTAATTAGCCCTGGCCGGTTTGGCTCAGCAGTTGGAGCATTGGCCTGCAGATCAGAGAGTCCCAGGTTCGGTTTCCGCTAGGGGCACATACCAAAAATAAATAAATAAATAAAATGAGATTTTTAAAAAATTAATTAATTAGCCCAGCCAGTGTGGCTCAGTGGATTGAACAATGTCCCATGGACTGAGAGGTCCCAATTCAATTTCCAGTCAGGGCACCTGCCCAGATTGCAGGCGGATCTCCAGTTGGGGGCGTGCAAGAGCCAGCCAATTGATGTTTCTCTCTCTCTCTCTTCCTTAAAAAAAGTCAATTAATAATTTGTTTAAAAACATATAAAAATAAATGAATTAAAAAAAATTATGTTGCACCCTACCTGGTTTAGCTCAGCAGTTAGAGCACTGACCCACAGACCAAAAGAGTCATGGGTTCAATTCTAGTTAAGGGCATGTACCTCGGTTCAATCCCCAGCCCTGGTCAGGGTCATGCAGGAGGCAACCAATCAATGTGTCTCTCTCACATCAATGTTTCTCTCACTCTCTCTCTCTCTTTCCCTCCCACTCTATGCGAAGATAAATGGAAAAATATGCTCAGGTAAGGATTAGAAAAAAAAAATTATGTGTCGTAACTCTACAGTATTTTTTTCTCAATGGTACATAAAATAATGATGAGTCTTACAATCTCTGGCATCTTGTAGTCAATGAAATGCAGTATATTATGATGCCAATGCTGAGTAAATGTTTACCTTGTCACCATTCCTCCGCCCAACAGATCCACAAAGAATATAGACCTAATCTACACCTTTAACCCACATCTCCCAAGCTGTTTCCAAGTGTTAACACATGAACAGACTGCCAGCACCTCAAATTAACATTTCTGAAACCAAAATCATCATCTCCCCAGAAGCTATTATTCTTTTTTTTCTGTTTCCTATCCCAATTAATGACACCATAATGAAAAACCTGACTCCATTTTGACTTTCTTCCTCTTTCTCTCCCAGCGGAGGCCTTTCCTGTCTCTAAACTGAAATCAAACACTCCATTTCTAAACCTCATTTTATTTCGTGCCTCTAATTTAGAAAATGGGAAACTGTACCTTGCAACATATTCAGTTATACACATGACTGCATCTTGGTTCTCAGTTTCTTGAAGGCAAGACCCATTTCTTATTTTATATACTCAGGGTGACTAGTTCAATGCCTCACCCATAGTCAAGTGGCTCAATAAATGTTTATGAAACTGATCACATCCTCTTTGTTAATAAGTTTCAGAACACTTAAGCCTCTATAAAGAGAAAAAAAAAACGGAACTATCCAAGAATAAAAGTTACTATAACTTAAATGGAATTTCACATACATGATCTCACCTGGTGGGTGTGGCTCATTGGATTGAACATCATCCCATGAACTGATAGGTCCTGGTTTGATTTATGGTCAGGGCACATGCCCAGGTTGCAGGCGCAATCCCCAGTGGAAGGCGTGCAAGAGGCAGCCAACGGATGTTTCTGTCTCACATGGATGTTTCTCTCTCTCCCCCTTACTCTCTCACTTAAAACTCAATTTAAAAAAATTTTTTTTAAAAAAGAGTTTAGCCCTACTTGGTTTGGCTCAGCAGTTAGCGCATCGGCCTATGGACCAGAGAGGCCTGGGTTCAGTTCCCGCTAAGGGCATGTACCTCAGTTGCAGTTTGTCCCCGGCCCCGGTTGGGGTCATGTGAGTGGCGGCCACTCGATGTGTCTCTCTCACATCAATGTTTTCTCTTTCACTCTTCCTCCCTCTCTCCCTCCTGCTCTATCTGAAGATAAATGCAAAAAAAATGTCCTCAGGTGAGGATAAGAAAAAAAAAGAGTTTGATTCTCAACTCTATAAGGCACATTGAACAGACAGTAATGACTTCACTTTTCTTTTAATTTTTTTTTTAATCCTCAACTGAGGATACTTAGCCATTGACTTTTTCAGATAGAGTGGAAGAGGGAGGGGGAGAGAGAGAGAGAGAAACATTGCTGGGAGAGAGAGACACACCAACTGGTTGCATCCCGCACAATCACAACCAGGGCCAGAGATCAAACTGCAACCAAGGTAAATGCGCTTGACTGGAATCCAACCCGAAATTCTTTGATCCCCAAGCCAATGCTCTAACCACTGAGCAAAGCCAGCCAGGGCTTCATTATTAAATTGTGGTTTAAAAGTCAAAAACTTGTCCAGCCAGTGTGGCTCAGTGACTGAACATCGACCCATGCACCAGGAGGTTGCTGGTTCAATTCCCGGTCAGAACACATGCCCAGGTTGTAGGCCCAATCCCTAGTGGGGGACATGCAGGAGGTGACCAGTCGATGTTCTCTCTCATCAATGTTTCTATCTCTCTCTCCTTCTCATTTCCTCTCTCTAAAATCAATAAAGAAAAAAAAAGTTAAAAAGTATTCCTGGGCAGAGTTTCAATAATACAAGTCAATAAAGATCTGATTTGACTAAAATTACCAAGTCTTGGAGGCAAAAATTTCTTTAAAAAATTTAAAATAAAAGAAAAGAAAGAAAAAAACCCTCAAAAATAAAACTAAGTAAATAAATTTAAAAAAATCTTGCCAGGCCGGTGTGGCTCAGTGGTTCAGTGTTGACCCATGCACTAAGAGGTCGCCAGTTCAATTTCCGGTCAGGGCACATGTGTCCAGGTTGTGAGCCCAATCCCCGGTAGGGGGCATGCAGGAGGTGGCCAATCGATGTTCTCTCTCATCCATGTTTCTATCTCTCTCTCCCTATCCCTTCCTCTCTCTCTAAAATCAATAAAGGAAAAAAAATGTTTTTTTGATTTTTAATCCTCATCCAAGGTCTTTTTTTTTTTTTTTTTTTGCATTTATCTTCAGATAGAGTGGGAGGGAGACAAGGAGGAAAAGAGAGAGAGAAACACTGACATGAGAGAGACACATCAACTGGTTGCCACCTACATGACCCCAACCGGGGCCAGGGACAAACTGCAACCAAGGTATGTGCCCTTAGCAGGAATCGAACCCGGGTCTCTCTGGTCCCTGGGCCAACACTCTAACCGCTAAGCCAAACTGGCCAGAGCAAAAAAAAAAAAAATGTTTCAAAAGTCAAAAATTGCCCTGGCCAGTTTGGCTCAGCACTTGAGCGTCAGCCTGCAGACCAGAGTCCCGGGTTTGGCTCCTGCCAGGGGCATGTACCACCAAAAAAAAAAAAAAAAGTCAAAAATTGCCAAAAGTTTTCAGTGGTTGAAAAATAATTCAAACTCAAATCTAATTACAAATCCCGTGTTTTTAATTTACAAACTTCTATCCTTCTGTCCCTCCCTCAGTTTTATTTCTACTAATTTTTCATCCTAATGTGGCGTATAAGGCCCTATAGTTGGGTTCTATCTCCCTATCCTCATTTTTTTTTTTATCCTCACCTGAGGACATTTTTCCATTTTTCTGTTCAGATAGAGTGGGAGGGAGAAAGAGAGAGAGAGAGAGAGAAACATCAACGTGAAAGGGACACATCGAGTGGCTGCCAACCCCATGACCAACCAAGGCCGGGTACAAACTGCAACCGAGGTACGCGCCCTTAGCGGGAACCTAATCCGGGTCTCTCTGGACTGCAGGCCGACGCCACTGAGCCAAACTGGCCAGGGCCCTATCCTCATCTTGATCTATGTTTTCCTTTCCTCTGTGCACACCAGCTATATTTGTCTTCTTTTAGCTCCTCCTCTTCACCACAAGGCCTTTGCACATATTATTTCCTCTGTCTTGAATATCCCTCTCCCTCCCTTACCGACCTCCTCTTCCTCCAAATTAGAATTCAATCTTCACTTCATTAGGTAAGGCTTCTTTGACCTGAGTAGGTAAATCTATCACATGCTCTCATAACAACATATACCCTCCTTTATGGAAGAAATCATAGTTCTATTTTTTCTAGTTATAATTTTATATTAATTGTATGATTCTTTTTTGCTTAATGTCTAGCTCCCTCATTAATCTATATAACTTCCAAGGCAACGGATTTTTTTAAAATCATAATTCTGCTCCAAGTACCTGGCACAATAGCTGTTAAAAGAATGAATAGGTTCTAGGTCCGGGTGGTTACCTTCGAAATGGGCAACTTTATGAAACCCGGGACACTGGTGCTGGTCCTGGCCAGACGCCACTCCGGACGTAAAGCGGTCATCGTCAAGAATATTGGTGATGGCACCTCAGACCACCCCTACAGCCATGCTCTAGTGGCTGAAATTGACCGCTATCCCTGCAAAGTGACAGCTGCAATGGACAAGAAGAAAACTGCCATGAGGTCAAAGATCAAGTCTTTAGTGAAAGTTTGTAACTACAATCATCTCATGCCCACAAGGTACTCTGTAGATATCCCCTTAGACAAAACTGTCGTCAACAAGGACATCTTCAGAGACCCTGCTCTGAAATGCAAGGCCAGATGGAAGGACAAGGTCAAGTTTGAAGACAGGTACAAGACTGGCAAGAACAAATGATTCTTCCAGAAACTGCACTTTTAGACCTTATTTGTTTCAGTCATTAAAAATAAAAAAATATATAAAAATAAAAATAAAAGAATGAATAAATGAAACCTTTAGCACTCTCCTCAAGCTCACTAAATCATCCCCACCTAATAAATCCCTCAGCTGATAAATCTTATATCCTACTTCACAGAAAAATCAGTTATCATCTCTCCCTTCCCCCATCTCATCTTGACTTTCCTCTTCTTACAGATTCCTTCCCTCATGCTCCAAACATTCAGATTTCCTCTTACAAGATCACTCTCAACCCTTATTTCTGTTGCAAAATTTCTGAATGCACAGCCTACACTTACTGATTCAACTTCTTCACTTTCCAAATACTCCACCACTGCAATTATGATGCCTACTCTCACACTACTCTAGTGAAACTGCTCTAGTTTTCAAATCCAATGACCCTGTGTTTTTCATATCCTCAACCAGTATCATACATCTCCATTATCTCATTATTCCTTCCTGGAAGTCCCTCTAATCTAGGCTTGAGATAGACACAGAATTCTCCACTTTCCTGCAGTTATGACCACACCTATCAATTCTTCTACCCATTCCTTTAGCAACAGCATTAGCTCATTTTTCTCCTCTTTAATCCTCTCTAAACAAATTTATTCAAGATAATAGGTTTACTACCAAATACCTGCCACTCCCAAACATTTACCTCTAACACAGACTCCTCTGCTAAGCTATAGATCTACATTTTCAGGTACCATTTTCAAGGGTCATCTGCAACAAGATTATTGATACTTTCCACTTAACATATCTTACATGTAATTTATCTTACAGGTACCATAAACTCAACTGAACCTAACAACTTTCCTTCCTCTCTATGTATTTTCTTTCTCAATTGAGATGTCTAGGATGACTTTCAGCTTCCTGACTTAGATGAATAGATGTCACAGAGCTATATAAGAACCATTAATACTATTCTTATATTAAAATTGCTCACTTTATGCCTGGGATAGTGCTAATTTTGACAATTATCTCAGCAACACTTTGCTATAGATATTTTCAGTATCTCTAGTACTACCACCCTCATTCAAGCTATTATCCATCTCTCACCTGAACATTTCAAGTGGGCCCCCTGCCTCCAATGTTTCTATCCACGGCTTCTCACTCCAGTCCTTTCACCATAAACTAGCCATTTGTAAAACATCACTCTTGCTTAGAACCATTCAATGGCTTTCAATGCTGTGTTGAACAACACCCAAAGTCTTTGGTATGAACTATAGGACCTTATATAATGTAGTCTCTGTCTACCTCTCTATATACCAAGATTCCTTACAATAACCCCTTCTTTCTTTTTCTCATTCCTCTCAAAATATTTGCTTCCAATTCACTCTGCCTGAAAAACTTACCTCGGATCTCCGATTTAAGGTTCTCAGATCTCAGCTCACATGTCACCTCCTCAAGTGAGGCCTTCATGAATAATCCCATTTCAAATAGTTCTCCCACTCAGATCTCTCTCAATCCCTTTCACCTACTTTCTTCTCTTCATAGTACTTATTATCCAACTTTTAATTATTTGTTTTATTTCTACATGTTCCTTTAATAGAATTAAACTATTTATAATAAGAGCTTAATAAATACTTTTTGAACAAATGCATAAATATTAAAGATGTAGAAATTAAGATTCAGTGAGGTTAAATAACTCAAAACTAGACCTGCTATATTTACCAACTCACATCTGTCTAAAACCAAAGCTTTTAACATCTACCCTATATCACATTACTAAAAGCAATGTGAGAGTAAAAGCCAGAAAGACAGACTAGAGAATATGATCAGATAGATGGTTAAGTTTAAGATTACAAAAGCAGAGTACCTTTCCAAGGAGTGGCAAGCTCTATGGCAGCGGTTCTCAACTTGTGGGTCCCAACCCCTTTGGGGGTCGAATGACCCTTTCACAGTGGTCACCTAAGACCATCAGAAAACACACATTTCTGATGGCAACTCATAACAGTAGCAAAATTACAGTTATGAAGTAGCAACAAAAATAATTTTATGATTGGGGGTCACCACAACATGAGGAACTATATTAAAAGGTCACAGCATTAGGAAGGTTAAGAACCACTGCTCTATGGTGTGATCATGGGTGTGAATGGTTCACATGAAGTAGACATACATGTTTATATCTAGCAGATTTCCTTTATCCTTGAGCAGATGAAAGTTCATGCCCTGGCCGGTTTGGCTCAGCGGTTGGAGCGTCAGCCTGCGGTCCAGAGAGACCCGGGTTCGGTTCCCGCTAAGGGCACGTACCTCGGTTGCAGTTTGTCCCCGGCCCTGGTTGGTCGTGCGGGTGGCAGCCACTTGATGTGTCCCTTCACATCGATGTTTCTCTCTCTCTCTCTTCCTCTCTCTCCCTCCCGCTCTATCTGAACAAAAAATGGAAAAATGTCCTCCGGTGAGGATAAAATAAAAAAAAAAAAAAAAAAAAAGTTCTACAAATTTGGCTCATAAATAATAGATAGAAATCATAGGTGAGCTAGCCCTTTGACTGAATCATCTTTATCCCACTTTGAACTATATATAAAAACAATTATCTTGCCCTGGCTGCTCTTGCTCAGTGGTTAGAGTGTCGGCTGCGGACCAATGAGTTGAAGATTCGATGCTGGTCAAGGGCATGTACTTTGGTTGTGGTTCGTCCCAGGCCCTGGTCAGGGTTATGTGGGAGGCAACCTGTCAATGTGTCCCTCTCACGTTGATATTTCTCTCTCTTTCCCTCTCTCTCTCTCCCTCCCTCCCACTATAGCTAAAGGTAAATGGAAAGATAGCCTAGGATAAGGATCAAAAAAAAAAAATTATCTTCCCACTGTCCAAATGCCAGTCCCTCCTTAGTTGACAGGCGGGTCTTCCTCACTTGCTGCCCTTTATCCTCTTTCCTGTCAATATCACTCACAGTAAAACACTAGAGAAGCTACTAAAGCAAACAGTTGCAAAAGAAAATTACCAGCCAAACACAATCTACAGACCTCTCTGTTCTCACAGTCCCAAACAAGTACTTATTTAATGCTGAGAAATAGAAGCAGAAGCAGCAATAGGAAAAAAACATGAATACTTTTCTTTTTGAATACTTTTCCTAATGACTAAGAATTGCTTTTCTCTATATGATATTTTAGGAGAAAACAGTTTGTATACATACACCCTACCACAAACTTTCTCCTGTCATATTTTATCCTAGCAAAAAAATAGTCCTCTTGACCCTTTTTCCTTTGATGCCATAGGCCTCTCTCACAAATTCGGTGGATAGCTAGCTATGTTTGGAGAAAACACTTGAGAATGAACATTTCATTTTTATGAAAGATGACAAATAGAAAAATGAAATCATTAACTTTATGAAGCTGAACACAAAAGTCTACCATACACCAATGTTTTTATTCCATTTCTTAGTAATCACAGAAAGGATCACAACAAAGCAGGAAATGCAAAGCTGGTTATCTAACTTTCCTCACCCAGAGCTGCTACATCCAACTATTCTATACAGAAGGAAACAGGAAAATGGATCTCACTGCTTTTCTGTGACAGTTCAAATCTCACCAAGAAAGTTTAATTTATGTTCAATCTAAATAATTCCTGCTATAATTTAGGTGCACCCAATTCCTCCCCTACTTAATTCAAGCTACATACTATCATCAGATTAATAAATACACTAACGTAGTGCTTTCATCATGTCAGGCATATTAAAATTTAACAAACCCATGTGCATGATACTGTCTTAGCTGCTTTGAGATATTCCATTTAATCTTTACAACAACCCTATTAGGCAGGATATTCGAATGGTTTTTAAGTGTCTCCCAAAAGGTGCTTATTAGTTGCAGGGGGTGGAGAGGAAACAAGACTGAAACCAAATAATACCTGACTGGGTAATCAAAATTAACATCAGCAATGAGAGACATATCAACATGTGTTTTCTTATGTGATACCCTGAGAAGGACACATTTACTATGTAGTACTCCAATCCATGATGCTTAATAACAGACAAATACAAAATGAAGGACATTCTTCTATAAAAGAGAAGGTACTGTATTCTTTTTAAAATGCTGTTAGCCCTGGCCAACCAGTTAGAGCGTCGGCCTGCAGTCCGGAGAGACACGGGTTCGGTTCCCGCTAAGGACTTGTACCTCGGTTGCAGTTTGTCCCCAGCCCTGGTTGGGTCATGTGGGTAGCAACCACTCGATGTGTCCCTTTCACGTCGATGTTTCTCTCTCTCTCTCCCTCCCACTCTATCTGAACAAAATATCAAAAAATGTCCTCGGGTGAGGATAAAAAAATAAATAAATAAATAATAAAAATAAAATGCCAATGTTATAAAAAAAACTTTGTTAAGGCTGTGAAAATGTTCCATATTGAAGGAGGCTAAAGATATGATCACTAAATGTAATAAAAGTTCTTATACAGGACCCTGTACTGTAAGGAAAAAAATGCTATAATTGGGACAATTTACAAAATTAGAACACTGTAAAAATGGCAGATTAAATAAAAGTACTGTATCATTATGTCAGACACTATCTTTATTCTTAAGAAATATACTATGCCCTGGCCAGTATGGCTCAGCGTTTAGAGTGTTAGCCTGCGGATCAAATTGCCGCTGGTTTGATTCTGAGAAAGGGCAGGTACCTTGGTTGTGGTTAGGTCCTGGGACCTGGTTCAGTTCATGCAGGAGGCAACCAATGTGTTTCTCTCACATCGATGTGTCTCTCTGTCTCTCTCTCTGTCTCTCCCTCCCTCCCACCCTCCCCACCTCCCTCCCTCCCTTCCTCCCATTCTGTCTGAAGATAAATGGAAAAATATCCTCGGATGAGGATTTTAAAAAAAAGAAATACAATATGAAGTATTTAGGGAATAGAGAGCCATGTCTATAACTTACCCTCAAATGATTGTTCTTTGTAATACTTTTATTTTGAAACTTTTCTGTAAGTCTAAAATTATTTCTAGATTTAAAAAAATGTTTTAGCCCTGGATGAGTA